CTCTCACAAATTGGGATGCTTTTTTTTATTGTGAATTTTGCATTACAAGATTCAATAGAAAAATAAATTATGTTAAAAAAATATAATTTTTTAATAAAAAAGAAATATTTAACTGATAAGAACTAATTATATGAGTAGTTATAAAAATAACTGTTGTGTGAAAAGTATAGCTTATCTAAAAAAAATTTTTTGTAAAAATAGTTATAAAAACAAACTTATTTATTAAAGAGTAGCTCTGAAAAGAATTAATAGATTTCGCAAAAGTTCAAGCATAATCTCGGAACGCGCACAAAAATTCGCTGCGTACAAACCGGATATTCGCTGAAGCAACATTTTAACTGGCACAGTGTACTCACAGTGTACTCAATGGCTGCGTTTAGCAGTTGAATCGCTCGCTGCTATTGATGTACTCTTCAAGATCTAAAATGCTGATTGAATGATCTAAAAAAATACACCAATAACAGTGAGCGCTTACTCAATTATTGAGTTCACTGAACGCCATAACAAAACGCGCAATGATTCTTTGCGCACGCCCTATAATCGTGCCCAAAATTCCGCTCCCTAAACGTGAAGCAACACAGCGTTGATTCAAATCTCGAAGATCAAGTTATCGACTTCGATATCTTTATAGTTTTATTGTGAGTAACAATTAAGGATAATATTGATTTAATTGTTACTCACAAAAAAAGCTATAAGGATATCGAAGTTGATAATTTGATTTTTCTAGGCCGCAAAATTTTGGGCACAATTATGGGGCGGAGAACCTCTGCGCGCTTTATTTATATTAAGTAGATTATGCTCTAGTCAAAACATTGCTATCTCATTTCAGCAAACATCCGGCTTATATGCGACGAATCTTTGTGCGCGTTCCGAGATTGTGCTTGAACTTCTGTGCCCTATTAATTTTTTTCAGAGCTACTCTTTAAATTAGTAATTTTACAAATATTATTCTTTAAATAAGTTATTTCAACTATTCTTACAAATAATTCTTTTTAAGTCTACTTTTCACAATAATTGTTTTCATAACTAAGTTTTCATAAACTACTCATACTATTAATTCTTATTAGTTAAATATTTCTTTCTTATAAGAAAATTATATCTTTTAAATAATAAAAATTCATTTTTCTATTAAATCTTATAATACAAAACACAATAATCAAAAGCACCTCGATTTGTTTGAAACGATCAGGTTAATATTATCCTTATAACATTTTACTTAGAAATATCCATAGAAAGTGCAAATAATGACACAGGAATGCACCGTAGTCGTTGAAAATAAGAAATTGTAATATTAGTCCGCAAAAATGATGCTTTGTAGAGGTCAAACTGTTCGTTACAGGAAGTCGTGCTTGTGGAGATTTTTTTATCAGAACAAGATCTACAACATATCAACACAAATGTTCAGGCAATTTGATCGAAATTCAATTTCCATAAGATTTATGCCTTCAATAACTTTTTACAAAATAATTTTTTTTGTAAATGTAAAAGAATATTTGTAGATATTAACTAAATTAAATTTAGTTCACGTAAAATTACAGTTTTGCTCGGTATATTTTAACCAAAAACTTTTGTTCGGTGTATTTTAATTAAATGTTTGTTGTTATAACAAAATTTTGATTTATAAATATTTGATTTATAAATATTTTTTCTATAATGTAAGTATCGATTTTTAGTAACAAGCTGTTTTCAGCTTTATTATGCAAAAATATGAAAATTTTTCACTGCATTGTCTGACTATAATTTCCGATTATGGATTGGCTCATTTTGCTTCAGTACAAAAACAGTCGAAGGATTGCCGGCTCCATTGTGTCGTCGACAATAGGATACGGCAAACTCTGCTTCTTCCATCTTACTCTCTTTTTCCCGCCTCTTTTCTTTCCTCGGCCTTTTTTCTTTTTAGTCCGCTCGTCGCGGTGCCTTTATAACTTGCGAAAAAGTTACGTCGCTCTCTCCTAATTGAAACTGCAATCAGTCTATGCAAATAGTCCCCTGAAGGTGCATCCTTCCGTGCAAAGGGCGTGAACAGGAAAGTCGGGAAGCTGGCCAAGGCGTCCTTGTTCCTTTAAACTTTACGTACTATTCCATTAGGATGATTGCATGTGCTGTAAGCACATTGATATAAATAGTTCTTAGTTGCTTATTACAAACAGAAGGTTAAAAAGCTGCAACAGTCATGCAAAACAATAATAACGTGTCCTTTATGCTAACTTTAATCTTCTATCCTTTCAGTTATACATTTTACGTTTTTAAAAATTCATTCTCTTTACAAAATATGACAATGTGCACACACACACACACACACACACACACACACACACACGCGCGCGCGCGCGCGCGCGCACACACACACACACACACACACACAAATAATTACTTATATAATTATATGTTATATAATTACTTATATAATTATATGTTATATAATTAAACTTAATCAAAATATATAATTTCTTAACTCCTGTTTAGCTGCATTATCAAAATGTAATTTCTTCTTTTTTTTATTTATATATTTACAAAGAAGCATTAGTTATATCACACATGGAAAATGCGAAGCGACACGCGACATTAGAAGCGAGCAAAAACTCTGCTTTGACTGCGACGTGCAATCAAGGTTGCCCTTCAATCGGCGACGGTAATCGAGTCCCCATCGGAGCTCGCTAATCACCGGACTTCGATTGCGATTCGTCGTTATCCCGAACGATTTGTCTGTGCGATTGCGAGTGGCACGCGCGAGCGCAGCCACCTGTTGCTTTCGCAGCATGCGAGGAAGAAAGCCCGCGATAATTATTATGGCGAATACGCCAGCACTCTCTCGCTTTCCTCCCTTTCTTTTCATCGTTGCTATGAACAGCCCTCCTGCTGTTCACCCATTCCCTTTCATATACACTCCATTTTCCTCGCCTTCCGTTTTCCCATCACAGTCATTCCTCCTTGAATTATTATTTCTTTCGTCCTCCTCGTTTTACGGCACTATGTGTGAACAAAGGATGAGCAAATGCTTCGAAAAATTTGCTACAAAAGAAACAAGATTCTTTGAAGATTCGATCTAATAAACGAGAAAATAATATCGTTATACGAGCAAGAAATTAATTGTCATCAAACTTAATAAAAAAATAGCAAATTAACTATTTCTATTATTATCAAAACTTTCGTTACAAATACATTTTATACATCTGGAATATTAATTTACAAATTTAACATAATTATTATAATATTTGCAAATTAATTCGAAAGCTGCAATTTCTTACAGATTTAATATATTATTCAGTATTATTAAGATCGTTCTAAGATATGTAAGAGCATTGAATTGTTAAATTGCTGGTCAATTTAACAATTCGATGTTCTTACATACCTTAGAAGATCTTAATACTGCTAAATATTGTATTAAATCTGTAAGAAATTGCAGCTTTCGAGTTAATTTGGAAATAATAATTATGTTAAATTTGATCTTAGAAATTTTTAATTTTTTGTAGATATTTATAATGGAATATGGAGTGAGGTTTGTTTGTCTCAGAAATCTATAGTTTTTCGTAGATATTTGTAGCAAGATGTAGAGTAACGTTGTTTGAGGGAGCAAGATTTCTTGGTTTTTTTCAAATAAACAACGCTACTCTATGTCCCACTACGATTATCTGCGAAAAACTAAGAATTTCTAAGATCTTGTTTCAGTTTATGTATTTTTTCGTAAAAACTTTCCTCTAGGTGCGTTTCAAAATCTTACCTTGGTTAACATAGTCCATTCCGACACTACTACTGTGACCGAGTGGTTAACCAATGGTAGCGGTTCCAAAGCGTGGAGTTAGTCATCCACGAAGGTAACTTTTCTACCTTGCAAAATTGAGAGGTAGGAAAGGTAACTTTTATGAAAACGCGGGAAAAATTCAAAACATGAGTTGCTAACACGATCCAACACAAACTTTGGCTAACGAAAAAGCTTGTATGGATACGAAATATGGCAAATTATATGTCAAATGTCGTCCTTGTAAAAGGTCCTTGTAAAAGATAAGTTTCTGCATCAATTCTTCGTCATCTTCACTGTTGCTATCGCTTTTGATATTTATGATAATATTTGATAAATATAATGTACTTGCAGCACAAACTTTGATTATAATTACATGTTTATTTATTTCTGCTGCCATAATGCATACTGGTGCATACCAATGGGCGTACTAAACTCGTTCCAAAATGACTATTACTTTAGTTAATTTTCCCTTTCAATCTCATAACCATCGATGTTGACCAAAGTTAACTTTGAAATGCACCCCAGGGTGGTATACATTTTTTAAAAGTACTTTACGTTTGAAACCTATTTTCAACGGAATTTGAAGTCCTGATTGCAGTATTATAAATAAAGTATTTCTGACAGGAATATTTTAAATTTTTTAATATTATGATTTGAAAATGGGACTGTTTACTTGAATAAATCAAATTAATACGAGAAGTGTTGGTTACGGTCAAATTTAGATGTTAAGAATAATATACATTTTTAGAAATCTATATATAGTATTTTATATAAAGCTGAAACATTCATTTTTTTTTATTAAGATTTGATATTTATGGACTCTCTCTGTCCGGAGTTAATTTATTTTTATAGTTTAATTTGCAGTTTGTTCGAATATTTATAAAAATCTTTGACCAACCATGGGACTTGGTTCTTCTTATTATCATCAATGATTCTAGGGAAAATTTGTGAAAACAGAAAAATCATTTAGATTTATCTATTTTATAAATGGTTAAATGATAGACATAATACTATTTTAAATGTAAAATGAAAATGGTTTTTCAAAAACCATTTAAAATAAAAAATGCAAAATGCCATTTCCATTTTAAATACATATTTACTAATTTAAAATTAGGAACTTGTTACGATTATAAATATGTATGTATACTTTTCGGCTTTTAGTTCAAGCACGTGGACGAGACGTGCCACCGCGTGTTATTTGTTTCGCGCATGCGCGTCGCCTTTCTGCCCGACGTGGCAACCGATGCCGGTCGCAGTTCACTGGCAGTTTTTCGTTTTGTTCTACCGCCCGTCGCGAGTTCACGCGACGAAAGCGTTCTTTTCTCATTGTACACGTTTGTTTCATATCTAAGTATAATAAAGTTTCTTTTCTCTCACTCACCACATGTTATTTCAATAATAACTCACAACAGAACTAATTTAAATATTACTTAGCCCTGTCCACGCGCATCATGCGTGAAATGTAACGCAACATTAAGATTCAAAGGTTAGACGATAAGTAGCTGATATCGTCTTTATCGTTTATGAATATATATATATAAAATATTCATTAATAAATATTAAATGATGGATAGTGAATGTGACAGAAACTTTTGAAACATTGAAGAGAGTCAGTTAATTGCAGATTTTTCACTTTTGTACGCCCAAACGTGAAATTTAAGATATGATGTCGTGGCTAAAGGAATGCATTTTGAACTGGTTTCAATTCCTAGTTTTAAGGGTCATTAAGACTGGCGAAATACCTAAACACGTGGCATTTATCATGGATGGTAACAGACGTTATGCGAAGAAACAGAACTTGACGATAGCAGAGGGACACTTAAAGGGGTATGTATTTTTTAAAAAGAATTTGCAGATATACTGGCTTGTTGTTTATTTCTCATATCTTATGTTTTATTTACGACAGGTACAACAAAATGATTGAGATGTTATACTTGTGCAGGGATCTTGGTATTGTAGAATTCACAGTTTATGCATTTAGTATACTAAATTTTAAACGTAGCAAAAAAGAAGTTGATGATCTCCTAGACCTTGGCAGGCAGCAGTTCAAGCATTTCTTGGAAGAGAAGTAACATTAAAAAATTTTTAAATTAGGTATCATATTGCAGCACAATACAGATTTGGTTATTATAAATTTATATAAACAATTTTCAGGAAAAAATTGAAGGACGATGGAATACGTATTCGTGTATTTGGCAATTTCTCGTTGGTGCCAGAAGATTTATGCAAATTATTTGCTGAAACTATGATTGCTACTAGGGAAAATAATAGAATAATCATAAATTTTGCTGTTGCTTATACATGTTAGTACAATTATAATGAATCATATTTATGTTCACACTTAATTTTATATTACACTAAGCCTGCGTTTAGGAAGTGCGCTATCAGCGCTATTGCATCATCCTGTTTTATGTCTCATAAACAATTAAGATAGAAAGATGCAATAGTGCTAACAGTATACTCTCATAGCCTCTAAACCGATTTAAAAAGATCATTGATATGTCAGTGTACTCTCTGGACAATTAGTTCCGTGACGTATATATAAATAAATGTTAATATTTTATATAATTTAATAATATATACACATACACACATGCATACATAATTTTTACATTTTTTAATATCGCTATAGCAAGGGATGAAATTACTCATGCAATTAAGGATATGATACAAGGTGTAAAGGATACTGATATTTTACCAGAAGATATTAACGAAGATCTGATTACTGATTGTTTGTACACTTACAAGTCTCCAAATCCAGATTTATTAATTCGTACTTCCGGAGAAACTCGACTTAGCGATTTCCTCACGTGGCAAGTAAGAAAGCTTATTTAATTTTTATGATTTAAATCCATCTCCTTGTAATCAAAACAGAACCATGCATTTCAAAATTTTATCCAACTGCTTTCTTTTAGATTTTCAATACTTGCATCTACTTTACTGAAGAATTGTGGCCTGAATTCAGTCCATGGAATTTTTTTACTGCAATTTTTTATTATCAGAGATGTTATTCCAGCTTACAGAAAAATAGAGACAATTTGAAACCAATTATACATAATACTAGAGTATCCATGTATCTTGATAAGTTGCATAACAAACGCGACATGGCAATAAAAAAAATATGTGAGTCAGCAATTCAATTGTAGAAATAAACATATAGATGTATTTTATAAATCTACACATCTAGAACGTTAAAAATTTGCTAAGTACAATCAAAATGTAATGTTCCCTGAGGGTTTCATATTTAGAAGGTCTCTTCTTCTTATTTAATCTGAAATTATAATATTTAATCTGAAATTAGACAAAAAAAATGATATAAAATAATATTTACGATACGTATATTGATAAATTCATAAACTTTATATTATGTATATTTCATTATTATATTTAATACTATGTTATACATGTAAAGTAACAATATCATATAATAACAGTAATAATAATAATAATAATAATAAAATTTTCTAATCAAATATTTTTGAAAATATACAAATTACATTTTAACACTTAAATCTAAATTTCTATTAATTTTTCATACTTTTATCACCTTTTACAGTTATTATATTGTGTCGTTCATGAAATTATTAAGTATCAATAGGGACATGCATCATCATTGTTGCAGATAGTCCTATTTTGAATGATAATCGATACAATAGTGATACATGTGCGCCTTCGTATGCTATATAAGGGAGCACGCGATTGTGCGTCTGACGTCTTATCATCAGCGAACGTTGCTCATTGAAATGTTCCTTAATCGATAAGCGTTTCTCAGAGCATTGGGTGCTGTTGTATCGACTCAAAATGCTTCGCGACGACTTGGCATTATAAGGCCGAAACAATATGCCGCATGCGAATGCACTTCCCTTACGTGCGAGACTGGAAATGCAGTTGTGCTTGTGATTGGAGTGAGTTGTTAATGAACGTCTTTCCTGCAAATAATAATTTATTATGACTATTATTCAAGCGATATAAATATAAAAAAGTGATACAAATAAAAATTACATTACAAAAATATACAAACATAGTTGGAGATTTTGTATGTTGAAATTGAAAACTAGAGAGAGAAAAAAACTAATAAATTTTACATATATTTGTGAAAATTTTAAATAAAATTAGATAAATGAGAAATTGAAGGATAAAAGAATCTGACAAATATAAAAAAAAACTTGTTTTTATTAGTTTCATGTCTTTCATTTTTATTATCAATTAGATTCGCGTACTTCATGAATAATGGCTTAGAATTATTACCTATAACAATTTATTATCTATTTCTTTACGAGAGTAATCAAGTAGAGAAAAATAGCCTAAATTATATGATATTGACATGGAATTTTTCAATACTGAAAAAAATGTATATATTTGTATGTGTACGTGTATCACGATCTTATTAATATTTATTTCTCTTATTATTTACTATTTAATCTGAGAGAGAGAAAAATAGCTGAACACAATATTGCACAAATGGAAAACGCGATACTGGCATTAAATGTTGCGCGTTTAATCTTCACTCGTTCGAGCCGAGAGAGGCTGACACGAGAGAGCAGCGTAATGAAACAGACGGAAATAAAAAGGATGTTACCGTCAAGATCTGAAAATAATCCGGAAAATGGGGAGAAGTGGGAGGATGCGCGAGAGGGTGTAGAGAGTAAGATACGGGTTCTCCCTTTCGCGCAATTAAAATTTCCATTTCTCTTTTCCGCGGTCGGCTTTGTTTTCCTTCTATCTATTCGGGATCGCGGCATCAAAGGTACCTTGTGCCGTTGTAATAATAACAGCCCCCTCAAAAAGCGTTTTCATTGTAACGAGTCACAGGATTTAAATCGTTCTCTCCGTTAATTGGCCTGTCGCTGCGCCCGGTTGCGTCCGGCTCCTGTAATACTTCGAATAATAAAACGTGAGTAGCTGGTCCTTCTCGGATACTTGTCATTAGCTGTTTGACGTTTAATCACGAATACTGAAATAAGATGAAAGAAATACAATTAATTAATCATGCGCGATTACATTTGTTGACGTACTATACGTCATTTATCAGTGTGTCATGATAATTTAATCAAATGATGTGGCTTGGCTGCAGCTTCTGTGATTAAAATAAATTCTGTTTACTACAGTATGCTACAATATATACAGTTAACTACAATATCAAGAAAAACTTATAATTATCGTTAGTATTACATTGATTTTTTTAGTATTTAATAAAGTTCTATTTTTGTAAATTTTTGTTTTATAATTGAAAGATTTTCTACAAGAACTGTGTGATTCACTATGTGAATCCATTTTTTTTTAAATCTCTATCAAATTCTGGAGCAAAATCTCTATCATAATATAACATCATGAATAATTTTATTCCGACAAGAATCAAACTAGTATATCACTTTCACGGCAAGAATAAGACAAGTTTCGTTTTTTAAAAGAGATAAATGTTAAAAAAGATAAATATTAAAAAAAAATAAGTGTAAAATATTACGGAAGAAATATAAGTAATAAAATTGCCGCAAGAACCAAACATATTCATAGGATTATAATTTTTTTAAATATTTTAAATAGATTCTTAAAATATTAATTAGAATAAAAAACTTTGTTTTTATATTTATTATATATTCAGAAAAAATTACCACATTTATTTATTAGACGGTTTAAAGAAAAAAATTAGTCTTTTTTATTTTCTGAAAATTTAACTTTTTGCACTTGTTGTGAAAAATTTTTCAAATGTATTATATATTGCTTAGAAATTAAACGATAGGTTGCGTATTTGATTAATTAAAATAAATGCAGTTTTTGTAACTATTTTTTAATAAATAAAAACTATATACTTACAAATATTGATAAATGATAGTAATTAACCCTTAGAATAATTATTATTATTTATCAACGATATTACAAGCAGCACATTATGATATGATATACCCACCCGATTCGATTGCTTACAACTTTTAAAAAATAAATGCAAGACAATTTTTTTAATCGTAATATCATTAAGGAATATTACCAAATAAATATACGTATTTTTATTAATAAAAAAATTATAAGCAATGGAAGAAGTATTGAAAAACGAATGCCATACTGAACCATTTAAAGGTTAAAACTGATAGTTTATTATGTAAAGTTTTTTTTAAATCACTTTTTAACGTCTAAAGATTACCTATATGACTTAATATCTATCACAATTTCAAGAGATTTTTTTGTTTTTAATCATTTTAAATACACAATTTACAAAAAATTTCCTCTATTTTGTTATATCTAAATCAAGTCGTAATGCCGACTGAAGCGAGAGTAAATTTGGCTACGTTATCTGGTGCACAGGGTAAAAGGACAAAGGGCCCAAATTCGTTAAGGGTGCACATGGGTAGATTCAGTGGTAAGCCAATTAAGCTGGAAAATCTCTCTGCTGTTTTTTCACATTTTGCTGTTTATTTGCATTTACGAAATAGTAGTAGACGGTAGTAAACCGTCAATTTTGCGCTATTATTTTACTTGCTATTTTAAATATCGAAATTTAACTTGTCAAATTAATCATTACGATGATCTCTTCAACATTTGTAAGTTAAACGGATTTCTCGTAGCTTAATATGCTTTATTGATTTAGGAAGTAAAGAGATAAATTTTACAAAAGAACGTATTTATTTCTCATTAAATTCATGCTGTCGGATTTATTTCCATCTTTTATCTCCCTCCCCCTTTCCCTCCCTCATTTCATTCTATTCGCTCGTTCAAAATTTCGAACGTTTGCGTAAGCTACGATTAATATGCATCAGCGAGTAAAATCCAGTGCTCAGTTGCATTTACAAAATGAATAAACAGTCATGGCTGGCAATTTTCTGCCTAGCCACACACTGTTTGCTCCAATCGATCATCTGTCAACTAAACCTTTTCAGCTCAAGTTTAACTAATTAAATGGTGATACTCTTTGTTAGTTTCGAAATGTATTATGCCATACAAAATATATACTATTTTATTGCCACGAGTGCTGCCTACGTGTAAACAAATAATGTATATTTAATAATAACAGAACCTAGAGAATTACATGAAATATGAAAATACAAATTTAAAGTTTTTAATAATTACATTTTAAATAATTACATTTTAATATAAATAGCAAAAAATATGATTGCAGTAAAAAATAGAGATTGATATGAGTCAATGTATAATTGCAAATTGTTATCCTTGTTGTTTATCCTATAAATAAGTAAATAGTAAATAAGTAAATAGTAAATTAACTTGAAAAAAATAAAGATATCAAAAGAAATGAAGAATGTAAGTTCGAATTTCTTACATAAGTATATACAATTATTTGCTTAAAAAATTATTAAAATTGCAATAGGAATAGCAAAAGATCACTAGTGATATTATTATACTATCGAATACTAAGTACTAAATGATTATGTATTATTATATAATATTATTAAAATAAAGAATAATATAAATAATAATAATAATAATAATTCTATAAATATAATATTGAATAAAATGTTTATGATTACGTAGTAATCTTAAAAAATTAATAAAACAAACAAAAAACATAAAATTAAAAAATTTTTTAATAAATTAATTAAAAAATTAAGGTATTATCTCACAGGAATTAGATGTTTATAGTACCTATCTCAGACAATATTTTCTCATGTTACGGGCATGAGATCTTGCATCGTTCAGCGTCGATTATACCGGCCTATTTCGCTCTTGGATCCTCTGTGAGGGGGGGGGGGGAAAGACGAGATGAAGGAGTATCTCATTATTGTCGGAGGTAAAAGGAGGACGGAAACACGGAAGAGTGCCTTGTGAGATGTGGAGTGCGTGACGTCGTGGTAATTTTGCATTTAGGTCGTCTGATAGGTGCGCGTTTATGCTCGCACGATTAATAACGGGGAAAAGCCAGGAAAAGGGAACGAGAGGGCTCTTATCGTATATCATTAGATTTGAAATCGATTTCGGTATCGGTGAAGTAGACAGCCTTGAATATACGCGAGCCCTCTAGCTGTTGCGATCGATCGTCCTTCATACAACAAAGGGTGATATCCTTTGTCACTGTTTGCAAAAGCACCGTAGTTTCTAGTAATAGATTCTTTTGGACTTATAACTAAACGTCAGATTACTTATAAAGATAGATTATAGAAAATTAGAAGAGTACTAATAGGACGAATAAAATTCTTCTTTTGAAAAAGTAGTAATGTTAGCATTATAGGTGACAAGTTACAATTAAACATTTTTTAATCAAGTTAATTTGATTTTAATTTATCTACATCTTAATTTTGTTTTGGAATTTGAATTTGGATAAATTACACGAATGCAAACAACAAAACTTTATCA